CACTATTGCAAGTCATTAATTCACCAAATAAAGATTGTGGTACGAAAGTGCATAACTAGCAATTGTCATTCAAACATGAACCGCTCAAGTGATTTCTTGTCCCAAACTTCCCTACCATAGATGATGTCTGCTGCAGCTGCAGACAAAAAGTCTGGAAAAACATTTTCCGTTGAATATGACATTAATTCGGAAAACAATTGTATTAAACCGGCAGGGAAATCCTACATTTGTTCATTAAATTTCTGTCATTTCTGTAAAGGACGTTCGTTACCAATAGCAAAACACTTATTTATTTCTACATTTTTAAATGTGCTTATACAATTTCAATTAAATATTGAAGAATCTATTCTGCAACCAGCACGTAGTTACGTTTATTATTTTCAATCAATAAGATAGCAAAATAAACTTAAAAATGTAGTTTTTCTTGTGAATGTGTTGTGTTGTGTTGTTTTATAATGGAATGAGCACTAGGGATTATGGATGGACTATGGTATTGAACTGACAGATGAGATAGTAAAAATATACCCATGCCTAAATTACAACTGGAAGCTTTTCTTAGGTATATTCGACCTCAAACATCAACCAACATTTCGTGTTTGCATACTGGGGCGTAAATGTTTTAAGTCACTACTTCACTGTCCGAGAGGCACTGCGGTCTAGACACGACCGCAAACGTTTTGGCTGACATTATGTAACCTTTTTCAGTAAAAAATGCATCTCATGCACAAATTGCGGTTTTCCCCATAGTACGTAATACATTTTGACGTTAAATAAATCAATCGAAATATTAATATGAGCTCAATGGTCGGCTTGAAGAACACATTTTAAATATGAGTACGGTTAACCGCCACATTAGTTTAAAATACGTCTCTATAATGATTCATTAGCATAAGCATTGTTATATATGCCTTAAAAATCACAATCCATTATCTTCAGCCTTGTAAAATTTCTTACTGCGTACAACGTTGTTATTTAATGAAAACGTGTTGGTTGATGTGTTTTTGATGCGTGCAAACACCTAGTACACATCATTAATAGACATCTTTTTCCTTTGCAGGACACATGTACACAACGCATTCATTGTTTAATAAGTCACTTTTCTACATCGAGGAACAATAGTTCATTATAATTAACATACTACATAATTAGGGAGGCCCCTATTCACCTAATATACATATATTTATACGCGTAACTGAAAATATTAGCACGAATCATGCTATCATAATTATGTAGACAATGCCCAAAGCGATATTTACCCCATGGCCGTTTTCTCTCGTGCGAGGTACGTGGAATATTGGATGAAATTTTTCCACCTAAAAAAGTACCCGATAAAACTCCTTCACTTCAGTGACGAACAATCTTTAAAATAATGTAAATTCATATTTTGGAAGGTGTTGTTTCAGGTTTCAAGTTCTGATACTTGATGAAGTAGTTGAGTAGTACTGACACCCTTCTGTATATTGTGCACTACTATGGCAATATTTCACGTTACAATTTTACAACTGTTTACAATTTAATATTTTTCTATGCCTTTATGATTTTAAAGTGATTTAAATGAGAGCAACGGAAAATTTTCAATATTTGGTAGAGTTAAAGAGTGGTGTGTAATTATTTTGAAACTCAATTGTTTCCTTTTTGTGACGATGATAATAATACAGAAAATGACAAAACACGCGATAAATTAATGTAGTAATAAGCACAAAAAATGTATCAGTTAAAATAGTTACAGTTGGAAAAACTAACGAAAAAATAAATAGTCGAATGTATTTATTTATGAATAAATGATAATTCTAAATTTACAAAATATAATTGTTATGATAGAAAGTAACTAGGATTTATATTATTTCTTACAAAGTGGTATCGTGAACTAATACTGAAGAAAAATTTGGGTTCACTGCACTGAGCTCATTGTTCGGATAAATAATTACCTGAAATAAAGGAATAAAGGAGAAACCCAAAAGATATTACAAAATTTATTTAATTGATTTAACTAATAAGAAAATATTTTAATTATGTATTTGTAGGCTTTCGCGGCCAGAATCATTAGTTACTTGGCAGTCCGAGATCAGCCGCGTCTGAATCGATCGAGCTGACGTTTCGGCTATCGCGTTGTGGCCTTCTTCAGAGCTATCTTCCTGGCGGAGAGGGGTGGGTTGGGGTGGAGTGGGATGGGTTTTGGGGTGGCAGTGGGATGGGGTGGGGTTTGGGGTTGAGGAGGGGTGGGGTGGGTGGGTGGGGTAGGGGGGATGGAGCGGGTAGAGTGGGGAGGAGCGGGAAGAAAGTGAAGATAGTGTTGCGCGGGGGTGAAGCAGCGAGTGGACAGGGTGATTGGCGGGCGCTTATGGAGCGGACGCGAGTTGGGTCGCGCAGGGGTGGCCAACGGTGAGCAAGGAGGTTTCAGAGTAAGATATTGGAGAAGCGGGACGGGGCGGAGTCAGGGCGGGGTGGAGGGGTGGAGTTGGGCAGAGTGGAATGGGGCAAGTGGAGTGAGCAGTGCGGAGTGAGGCGAGCGGAGAGGGGCAGAACGGAGAGGGGCAGAACGGAGAGGGGCAGAACGGAGAGGGGCAGAAACGGAGAAGGGGCAGAACGGGAGAGGGGGCAGAAACGGAAGGGGCAGAACGGAGAGGGGCAGAACGGAGAGGGGCTAGAACGGAGAGGGGCAGAACGGAGAGGGGGCAGAAGGAGAGTGCAGAGCGGGGAAGGGGAAAGGAGAGGGGCCAGAGCGAGAAGAGGCAAGCGGGAGGCGAGCGGAGTGGGACAGAGTGGAGTGGGAAGTGGGGCAGTGCTAGTTGGACGGGGCGAGGCGGAGCTGTCGCCGGCTGCGGGCCCCGTTTTTTAAAAATGATGCAGGGGCCATCACGCCGAATATTTTAATCGGCGCGCTCGCCGCGCGCGCCGGCGCGCCGCGCGAGCGCCGCCTGGCGCTGCAGCGGCCTTGGGCTGGCGCTGGCGCTCGTCGGCCGGCGACTGGGCCCGCGTGGGCGGCGGCGGCGGCAGCGAGGGGCGCGGATGTACGGGAGCGCAGTCTCTGGAGGCACCGGACGTCAGGCCGGGGAATGGGTCGCCGGGCGGAAGGGCGGGACGAGATAGACACAGAGCGGGAGACAAATGGCAGTGTGTGCATGTGCCTGTGAGAAAGAGGGAGAGACAACAAAATGGGGTGAAATGAAGGGAAATATCGTCAAGACATAGTAAAACGAAGGCACGCAGAATTATACACTGGCAGAAAGATAGGTGAATCGAGTAGGTAAGATCACAGCGACGTGATAAGATATGAAGCAAAACACAAAGCAGGTAATAAAGTAGTTACACAAGCTGTAAAATGTAGACGAAGTAATGACAATGATCATGTAAACGAATGTGGTGCTGATGAAAACTCAGGGGCTGTTGATGAATGGGTTTTGAAACAATGCGAATTAACTTAACACTAAGGCATCGCACGATAGAGGTGATAAAGGAAATAAGTTCAAATGAAAAAATAATAAATACCAAAGTTCATGAATACCAACTAAATAGTAAGGGAATCATTTGAATACGTATGTTATTTGACCCTAGCATGAAAATAGTCTTACCATTTTACAAGAAAACTAGCAAAGCGCACACATAAATTCAGTTTATACGTCTGCATCTACATTTACACCAAAATTACACCAAGATTAAATAAACGTTCCGACCTATTATTGTATATTATGGAGGAAAATCTTATATATGGAAAAAATCTAATATTGAACCAGGAGAACTTGGCTTCCCTTCCCGAAATTGAATATCTAATCTGCCGTGGGGGAAGGGGCGAGCGCGGACCCCGAGACGCAAAGAGGAAGCCTTCCCGCTGCCACTCCACCACCCCCGCCAACCCATTGCGCGTCTCTCCCCTTCGCGAGCGATGAATTAATCACCAGGCCAGCAGCGCCTCGGGTGACGCCGGCGCGCACTTCGCTTTCGTGTTTTCCTGTCAATTTCCCGGTCTCACTCTGCTTGTTGCCCTTGTTAGTCTCGTTACGGTACAAGCATTTTAGTACGTAGTCATAATTTCTTTAGGAGCTACATTTGTGCTGAATTAACTCCTATTCTACTCGAGACCTGCTGAGAGGTGCACGTGAATTATCTATTACTACTATTACATCGGGGTAGTGTGAAGGAAATGGTTAATGCATTAAATATTTTTTATTTGTGTGCCATTTCTTCAGATTAAATACTTTTGGATTGAAAAACAATTTTTATCCGAAAAAATATACTTATAAATAAAGAACTAGACTCTAGATAGTCCTATGCAACATTTTCATCGAAATGAAGGTAATCTTTGAGATTCACTCTCCCTATCGATTATTATACCCGCCTGGATAGCCGAGGTCACTAAGGCCAAAGGGTCGTAACTGTCTCGGCTCGAAGGGTTGTGAGTGTGAATCCCGCCTTCTGCAAGGATGTTTGTGTGTTCGTTTTGTCGTTACCTGTTTTTCCTACAATTAAAACAATGTTTATGACCAAGTTGTTAAAAAGTGACCTTAAAAACTATATTTTATGCAAATATTTAGTCCGGTGTAACCAATGTCGCTCTATTAAAAAACATTTGTTCTTCACTCAGTGGTGAGAGACGTCGCCTTAAAACATTTACCTTCTTATTTCTCAGGATGTACTCGTAGTGGCGAAGCAAATTCATCTAAATGATCCAGTTATAAAGTGAGAATTAATAACGTTATTTCCACAAAACAAAGAAATTTTGCATTTTAGGGAGGAGGAAGAGCATTTTCTCCTATAAAATGACGACTGGGAAATATACTGTGCAAAGAAATCAGCTGACAAGTTTTTCATTATTTCTCCAGATTAACATTCATAAATTTAATCGTAAACCATGTTCCAACGTTTTAAAATAGATAAAAGACAGAAATCTTTATATCTATTAATAATCCATTCAACACAACTCCAGTAGTTTTTCAAATCACATAATTTTATAGTTTTTAAGAATCTGGAGGTCAAAGAACAGAGAAAAGTGGGGTACTCACCAGAAAATATGAGAAAGATGGAAAATATGCTGACTGGGGAAGTCATGGATCCGGCGTTTTCTGCAACAAATGAAAACAGCGTGTGAAAATTTCACGTACCCAGTTTCAAATATTCATTTGCCAAGCATATTAATATCTCAATCGTGATATTAAAAACTCCAGCTTCAAAATTTCAGAGAAATAGTTGGGGAGAATGAAAATTAAAAATGAAGCATACAAAAAGATGAAATGAAATGGTATTTTAATATAAAATACATTACAGTATATTGTGAATTATTCAATCCTCATGTGTGTTTTTCCTGCTAAAAATATGATGATGATTTGGAGAATTCCCTTTATTAAACGAAAGTTTTAAATACGTATAAGTATTTTGTTTCAAGTGATCAGTATTTTAAGAGGATGAAATATTCACCTGAACTTCTTTGTCGGTATTCATAATGAAATATGAGTATTCTTTGGGAGACTTCCCCAAAACACGGAAGTAATTTGTGAGTGATGCAAGGCAATCTCCCGATATTAGAACTTATATGGATGGAGAATTATATATGTTTAAGGAATAGAGAAACATCTATTATCTATATACACATGTCTCTCATTATCACCGCACATTTATAAACGAACATCAAACTCGTGTAATAGGATCTAAAGTAGATTGATGATTTAATGTTTTAATAACAAATTAAATCGATGTACTTAAAAATTTTTTATGTGCGTATGTTGGTCTGTGTGCGGGGATGTGCGTAAAAGACGCCTAGTTCTCTGTGGTAAGTTAGCAAGAGAAAAAAGGAAGCCTTTTTTAGATCCAACTTCAATGATTACATGTAAATTAGCAGGTACGTTTCTTTAAAAATAATTGTTGATCATTCACTTTTTTGGTAGCGATTTATTATTCAAAAGCAACTGACAAAAGAAACAAGTTACAGGCAAAATGGTGCATCTCCCAACTTCACGCCTTTCCTTCTCAACAGACGGTTGCGACGGTTGGCACCGCTGTGAGCAAAAACTTGTGTTCCAAACTACACTGTTCTTAAGAAACACACAAATGCACTCTTTGTGCTGTTAATAGAATACTACTTGCTGAACACGATCATCAACCTAAATAAAAACAACACGATAAAAGGACTTTTCATAACATATCATAAATTCAACTAAAAGAAAGTGTGCTAAAATCTGCTTCAAGCATCTTCAAATCGTGTTCTACACAAAGCAAACAAAAGAAAACGTTGGAAATAAGCCAAACGAAACGCATATTCTACGTATCAATGGCCCAGTTTTTGCCCCATGAAATGCACAGAAAGAAAGGCAGACAATGAAAATATGCTTTAACGCCTTTAAATAGCGCCAACCTCTGGGTGGAAACGCACGGGTTTGAGGAAGTGGAGAGGAAACCTCAGCACCCTACCACGCCACCGCGCTCGCGTGTCATTCAAGACGTCCACAGGGCGCGCTGGCCGGAGTCCGCGAGCGGGGGCGTGAGCGGGGTGGGGCAAGCGAGGTCACAGCGCAGATGAAGACAAAGGGCATCAGGCGGCGCGGCGGCCTCGGGCCCAGCTCCGAAGGGCCGGCTCAGGGTGGGGGCAAGAGGGGGCCGCGCAGAGTTGAATTAGGGCAGATTGTTGCGTCGGTCGCCCTAATCCCCCGGCGAGAGGGGCGGGCGGTGGGGCGAGGATTACTGGGATTTCGACAGAAGCGGACGCGGGCGGGGGTGGGCGGGGGGGAGGTTGAACGGCGATGGCAGGGCGGGTCCGGCCCGGTCGCCGGGACGCACAGGCGTTGCACTCGCGCGTTCACGTGTGCGTGCACGCACACGGTCTCCCGCTCAGCCCCCGTCCGCGCGCGCGAGGGCGGGCCACGGCGTCACGCCGTCCCTGCTGACGACAGCAATAGGATCACAATCGAATTAGGCCATTAGGTGGCGGAACGCGCGAATCGCCTAAGCCCATTCATATCGCGCCCCGCTAACGCTACCTCCCTCACCAGCCCGCCCCCACGGCGTGGGCGAAAAAGGCGGGATGCAGATGCGGCCTGATTGCGGCGTGGCCCGTAATGCGAAGGAATTACGGACCGTGAACGTACGGTTGAAGCTGCGCCGCTGGTTGCATAATCACTTATGTGCTGGGTGCGGGTGTAGATGCCGCGGTAAGCAAGCGTGAAACCTTAAATGTCTGTATTAAATAAAAATAAGTTCATTAATATGAACAATTTTAAGTAACTCAAATTGTCAGGCAATAGACATTTAAGATAACTACAGGAAGTAAGCTCCGGCTAGATATTCAACTTTTTGATATATAAATTTTTCTCATAGATTCGTTGGTCACTTATGCCCGGCGCATCTACATCTAAGGTCATTACTCCAATAAGTGTAGTGCATGATTTCATTGCGGGAAATGGCAGTGATTTTCTCCAGCTGGTTGGCGAGATTTGACGCCGACCTAGAGATTTTCCCCAACCAGGTATCTCCCTGCTTTCTAGGTCTCGAACCTCAGTACCTTTCCTGACAGAGGCACTGCAGTGACATCAATTGATGCCCAGAGACACATTTGCCTGTGTTTTCTCGTTGTCATAAAACTCAAAAACTTCACTACTTTTCATCTTACCATCACTACTCGCAGTTAGAAAATTTTGCATTTATAATGGCGAATGCTTTTAACGAGACGCGTCTATCGCTTCATTATGGATACATTTTGCGAAAATGAAAGTGTAAATGTTTGTAATATTTGTCGACTCCAAAATATCTGATAGCTATTATGTGAGGATGCGTATTTGTAATGGATTTGGTTAGAATATAACAATTCAAGAATTTTTTCAATATATCAGCCTTCCAATTGCTGACTAGTGCGAACATATTTATTGTAATTGGTTGGATAAACAAATTGTCATGAAGATAATACAATTTATCACATTTAGAATTCAAGTTTTTTCATTGTGTTCTGTTGTGCAGTAATTAATGCAAACATTGGAAATTAGTACGGAATTAACAAAATCATTGTTTTCAAATACTGTTTTATACGTAAGTTACAAACTTTAAATTATCCTTTATTTCCCATGTGTATTAAACACTTAAGATTTTATTTTTGAAAATTTTATTTGTAAGTAAAACAAATATTTATCTTCTCTACAATTCAAAAGCTGAGTTAGCTTAAGGATCAAATGGTCACTCCAGCGACTCCAGCCATGAGGTCCTAGGGCTTGAGTAGCAGTCGTAGCTGTTTCGACACTAGGTAAATAGCTAGATGGATATCATCCATTGTCTGGAGGCAAACTCTATTGGTCGACTTCTCTAATCACATGTTTTTTGTGATTTCTCAAATCAGTTATCGAACTATGCCTCACAGTATCCTGACAAAGATACCACCGACCACGCACTACCATTCCTTCCCGAGAAATCACGCAAGCCGACGTCTATGTTGGTGCCGAATCGAGAGATCCAGCAAATGAGAAACACCATCGCCTCGTGGGAAATAACATGCATGACGCGGATGTGATTAATAAACAAAGTAGTTGAAGCTCAGAGGAACATCAATCAATCTCTAAAATTTGCCCGTAATGAATAACTTAATTTCCTTATCTGAGAAACCACCTAAACATGTATTTTAGAGCTTTGTGTATGTCTAGTTTTTGGTATGCGATTATAATGAAGAAAAACTCGCCCATTTTTCTGGCTGATGAAGAGACGACTCGAAAGAATCCGAGAAGAAGAAATCATAAAATAATGCGCAAAATGAACGTGCACAAAACAATTTTTATATTCAATTATCTCATGAATTTAAAAGTAAATTTATTTCAATTTAGTCGAAACGAGGAACTTACTACCTCTTACACAGTTTGGATACAAGCTTTCTCCGGAAATGAATGAAAAGAACAAACGCTGAGCCTTTCATATTCCCGAGCTTTACATTAAAAAGAAGTTTACCATGAGAGCTAAACAAAGAACAAAAACGTTGGCGACTCGCCGTTTAATATTTATATGAACAACGGGAGTATAAATACATGTTGTTTTCACTCTTGGAGACTCTTGGAGATAGAATAGATGAGAGATATAGTACATTTAAACAAATGATATATGTGTATGTGTTTCAGCACCAAACGTCTTGGCCATGTATTTCATATTTTCCTAGTATCAAAAATATAGAAAAATTAAAACTACTGACCAAACTCTATTAAAATAAGTACTGAAATCACTCAAAAATATTTATCAAACCACTTCCGAGAGCGAAGAAATATCACTCTTTTAACAGAATGTCACATTATATAGATATTTTGTTTTCGTAAATTACACATCAATGTGTCCCACACTTTCTTTTATTCACAAATGAAGGTTTCATTAGCACGTTCTGTATAAAAAGGTATGTAAGTATAGTCACTTTGAAGATGATCACATCA